CTTCACCACAATTGAAGCAAATCACCTCCTTATGCTTGCACTTAGATGCAACATGTCCAGTCTTACCACAACGTAAACACCTCTTCACCTCTGCAGTACACACATTGCTCTTATGATCAGGTTTTCAACATTTGAAACAAGCCACACCAGCAGGAGCATCTCCCCCACTAGTTCTCTGACCCTGAACAACTTTTTGTTTACCTTTACCAGTTGGGGCATCATAAGGCTTACCACAATTTTGTTGGTGCTTACCCCTTTTCTCACCGATAATCTTATAATGAGCATTATTATCCTCTTCATAAATCCTAAAACTATCAACCAAATCAGCGAAGACACGAATCTTCTGGTATCCAACTGCCTTCTTGATCTCTGGGCGCAACCCATTCTCAAACTTGATACACTTCGAAAACTCAGCATTCGCCTCGCTATAGTGCGGATAAAACTTAGCCAAGTCCGCAAACTTTGCAGCATACTCAACAACTGACATACTTCCTTGCTTCATTTCAAGGAACTCAATTTCCTTTTTACCATGAACGTCTTCAGAGAAATACTTCCTCAGAAATTCCCTAAAAAACACAGCCCAAGTGACATTTTCACCTGCAGCTTCCAACCTCTTACACGTCTCTAGCCACCAGTCATCAGCTTCGACTGCCAGCATATGAGTACCATATCAAACCTTCTGCGCTGAAGTGCAGTCCATCACACGGAAGATCCTCTCAATATCTTTCAACCAATCCAACGCTCCGTCAGGATCATACTTACCCTTGAAGGTAGGCGGACTCTCCCTCTGGAAAGTCGCCAAACTATGAGATCCAGCATTCCCGTCAGCGTTCGACTGATTCTCCATAGCATGCGCCATTGCTTCTAAAGCAGCAGCAAGTGCATCATCATTCCTTCCGGCCATCTCAACTTATCTCTACAACATAAACAACAGTTAGAACTCAAGGTAACAATACTAGATTATTAGACAACTACGACTCGACAACTTGGTCGGACAGACCGATTTGCTCTGATACCAACTTTTGTAACACCTCAATTCTACCCGACAATTATATATATAAATCAGAGTTATAAAATTTGACAACCAAGTCAGGATGCTACAAATTTAAACTTAAAACAACGACATTCATTGCAGATACATAACACATTAACTTGGATGAACCAACAACAACATGATTTAATCCTTTTAAAAATCAGCAACTTTCATAACTTCGCAGAGGAATCAAATATTCAACTTAAAAGAATATATCATCTTTGTCGAACTAAACAACTTCAAATAACAAGCATTCAACTAAAAACAACTTAAAGTTCAACAACTGAAATAATAACAACAATAAACTAGCAAGCGTTCATCCCCCCGAGTGTTACGTATCAGAGCAATGACACCGACTCGAACTACTGAAGGTAAACCTAATTCACTCTTGATTACCTGCACGTTACCAACAGAGGGCACCATTCAAACAGAAGGGGTGAGATATCGAACATTATAATCAGATTATGATAATATTACATTAGAATTAGTCTATGCAAAATCACCACTTCACAACTTCAAACAACATCAATCACAACAAAACATAAACGAAACATAATAATCAATTCATCAACACGACAACTCAATATGCAACGTGAAATGCAACTTGTTACTATGCATATGCATGTGGTACCAATGGAGCAGAACTCCCATCTAAAAAATCGAAGCAGAACTCCCATCTTAGAAATTTCCAATTAATAGAGGCATTAACAAGGCATAAGCCTTCTTCACAGTTTTCCAGTCCAGGCCGTTGTAAAATATGCAAATGTATGTGACTCAATGAATGCGCTGTTATATACTCACAACAATCATAGTTCATCGCAAGGCATAAGCCTATATCACCATTATTAACAGTAAATATAGGTAATTCATCGTCATTTAAAATTCCCTAAAACTTTGCATTATCAACAAAATTTACAGCAACAATCACAATAACACAACAACATTGGCATAAGCCCTCAACTTAATAATAATTCAACATAAATCAGCATAAAACAACATTGGCCATAAGCCTTCAACTTAATATCTGCCCATCGTTAGAGGCATCTCAACATAAATCATCAACCTTTAATTTCTCAACTCAGAACAACTTACACAGCAACTAAGAAGAATAACAGCTAACTTATACTCCTCGGCCCAACCTGCAAATTCGTTTTGATCGACAATAATATCGTGCTCCTCGGCATGCCTCGCAGCCTAATGCCGCTTTACATCCAACACATATATTACCTCACACTTTGGAGCCTAAACGCTGCTCGACGCCTAACACCATCGGCATCCTCCTCGACCACTAGTTCGACCAGCAACACAGAACAACACGACATCATAACGACCACATCAATGCAATTCATAACTTCTGACCAACTGCTCGGAATACCACAGTAACATGCAATTATATTTCCTATCAACAGATTTGTTCATTGTATAAGACATTCACACATAAACCTTCCTAATACGACCACAACAATAATTCCTAATTTCCTGGCAACTGCTCGTAACACCACAACATCATAACGACCACATCACCCAGTGATAAAATACACTAACCTAATCATTGATCCTACCGAGCGATCATACATATAAATCAAAACGCCTACAACACTACTAACGGACAACTATAAGAACGGTTCAATAATCATGTGATACAATCATACAATGACTCCCTAACGACCACAACATATAGAGAAATAGGTAAGTATAACAAATCTAGAAACATCAACACACAGTCATACAAACGACCAATTCCAACATGATATATATCATAAATCCCATTATAAGGTCAGAACCCCACCCTTACCTGGATTGAAGTTTGCTCAACCAAAGCTTCGGCCGTAATCCTTGTTTTGCTCTGCTCGACACCAGGCAACTTGCTCCTTCCTTCGTGCAGCTCTTCCGGTCAGTGTACAAACCCTTAATCTCCAACTAAATCAAATCCTTGTGTTAACTTAACCTTATATCATTAACCTATTAGGCTTAACTTTCACACCCCTACTTTACTACTTCCAACCAATAAAATTGGCCCAACACAATTATTCCATTAAATCCAACATTATTATTATTATTAATCAACTAATTAATTAATTAATAATAACCTAACAACTTGTACCAACAATTATCAACATCTCACAACTTTTCAACAAATAATCCAAAAATAATTTAATTAAATAAACGGCCGTTACACGTATTCTCCTTGATTCAACACAAAGGATACTGATACCCACAAATGTATCACACTAAAGTAGCTATTGTTTGAACCATATCGGTCTATGCCGTACAGTCTCCATAATATTTGCTACTTACCTAATAATGTTTCCAGATCCGGGTAGAAGATCAATACAAACCCAAACAAGGATCCAAAATGTAAAGCAAACAAATAAAATAATGAAAGCAATTAAATGTGATCTAGATCTAAGGTAACCCCACTTTTAATTATTTTCCCCAACAGAGTCGCCAGTTCTGTAATACAGTGGGAGAACTGACTTGGGTGTTTTGCATTTTATTGCAATTGTTGCAGATAGCAAGAGTCGCCACCTACTTTTCTTTTATCCAATAAAGGAAAGGGTGAAAAGAACATGAAAGACCTTTTGAGATATTTTCTTGAGTTTGGGGGATAGTTATGAAAAAGGAAGGTGTTAGCACCCTTTTCATCTGTATTTATCTACGGGATCTTAGTTGCTAGCTCACATTTGAAATGTGTTTTGTGATGTTTTTGAAAGTATTTTTGAAAAGTGCCTTCGTTTAGGAGAACTTTGTAATGATTCTCGTCTATATAAGAATATATACAAAGTGTTGACTTTTGAAAATATTTCTTTTGAAAGTGTTGGTGTATTTTGAGAGATGTTTTGAAGATGGTTGTGAGCAAGCAACTAAGAAAGTTTTATCTACTAAAAAAGTCTTTGTTCATTTCCTCCTCCTTGAGATATTGTTATCTTACCATTAGTTAGTAAGCAACCATATCATTAGATGTGAAGGGACAGGCGTGCGTCATCGTACAGTCATAGAAATCAACATTGTGGGATACCTTAGGAATTTGTTATGAGGGTCTAAGATCGTTTACCGAAGGTAACATTAAAGGGTCATTGAGGGACTACGATCTTGTAATTGATTGTTTTTGCTAAAGTATCCCATGTTCGAGGGACATGACTGTTAATTCTCAAGACAATAAGTGAGGTTAACCCTAGAGGTGCAAGTGTACAAACACTACTAAAAAAAAGACATTTGAGAAAAGGTTTTTACATCGGATATCAAAATATATGATGTAAAAAATACAATTAACAAACTTTTTACATCAGGTATTTATTTGCAATGATATAAAAAATAAGAAAAAAAATATATTTCGCTACCTATTACATCGGGCAAACGCATCCACCGATGTAAAAAGTTTTCAGAAAAAAATACGGTGGCATTTTTGTAAATAAGAAACAAGGTAGTAGAAATATTAATAAAAAACATGCAACATATTACATCGGTTAACTAAAAACCGATGTAATATCTTCACAGCAGATATTAATATAAAAAATAAATTAAAGAATAAATTAATATCTTCACAACATATTACATCAGTGGAAGTTTAAACCGATGTAAAAAAGTCAGAAAAAGAAGCTTGCATCGGGTATTAGTATCCACCGATGTAATAGGTTCAAAACCCTTACATCGGTTATTAGGATCCACCGATGTAATAGTTTCTCCACTAAGCCAACCCTTACATCGGGTATTCATTTCCACCGAGGTAATAGCTTCCAAACCCTTATTTCCCAAATTCAAAATATTTCAATATTTCCGCTGTACAATATTCCGTAGCCGCCGTTTCACTCCTTTCCACTGTACGCATACGACCCTTACGACCGCTGTTTCACAAACGTTACCACCGCCGTTTCCCAGCCACCATCATCGACGTTTCCGTTCACGAAGGTTCTTCAAAGGTCATGTCCATATATTTGAAGTTCATTATATGCATGCATGGCATTCAATGGTCCAACGGAGAGTGAAACAAATTGGTTTGAAGATTGTTTCACCAAATGTTCTGGACATGACACTTGTAGATCTCCCAGGTATTACAAAGGTTCCCGTTGGCGATCAGCCTTCTGATATTGAAGCCCGGATCAGAACAATGATCATGTCATATATCAAAGAGCCCTCATGTCTTATTCTAGCTGTCACACCGGCAAATTCAGATTTGGCTAATTCCGATGCTCTTCAGATGGCAGGAGTGGCTGATCCCGAGGGTATGCTTTTGCTTCCATATACTAAAAGCTTTCAATATTCTTTTGCATCTATTTAATTTGTTTTAAATGGTTTTATATATGATGCAGGTAATAAAACGATCGGTGTAATCACAAAGGTTCAGTATACTCTTCTAACATTCTATGTGTATCTTTATGGATTTTGTTATATGCTGTTGAGTCATTCTGACTGTTCGACACATTTTTTCTGCTATGAAGTTGGATATCATGGACCGAGGTACTGACGCCCGAAATTTGTTACAAGGAAAAGTTATTCCCCTCCGACTTGGCTATGTTGGCGTTGTAAATCGTAGTCAGGAGGTAATGATATTATCATACTATGATGAATTTGTTGTTTGACTAATTTAACTATCACATATATTCTGTTAGATTTTTTTCTTTTCTAAATGGAATAACACTTTGCAAACAAAGATGCATATGCTAATTGCTTGAATAGCGTGCAAGTCAATGTGTTATACTGAAATATGGTTTCTCTTGTTTGGTAAAATAGGACATTCAAATGAACCGGAGTATAAAAGATGCTCTTGTTGCTGAAGAGAAATTTTTCCGCAGCCATCCTGTAAGGAAATTCCTAAGCTTAGTTGTATTCAAGCTTTTTACTTAATATATACTCTATACTAATGTTTGTCCATTTTTTCTTCATAAGTATACAACGGTCTAGCAGATAGTTGTGGTATACCTCAACTAGCAAAGAAGTTAAACCAGGTAGAGCCTTTATTTCATTTAAAGTAAATTTAAAATATATTTTACTGTTACACTGTTGTGGCATCCCTTTCTCTTCTCATTTTCGCCTTATACATTTGTCACGCCAATATCTTGATTTTCCTCAATATAAAAGCATTTAAAAGCTTTCCTCCTTAGTAGTATAATTTAGGCATATTCTTAACTATAGAAGTGGGCTTTCAATTCAAGAAAATAAATTAGTTGCTTCACTTTTAATGCTGATTTTTTATTTGCTTTGTAGTTTTAGATTAACTAGCATACAATGACAGTGTAGAACTTTTAAAATTATGAGAACCAATAATAACCCTTCATTTGTATGACTTTTAAGTTATATATGATAAAAGTTAAACTTTTTTAATGATCAAACGGTTATGATTAACAGTCTGTGTCAAAAATCTTTACACCGTCAAGGGAAATATGAATTAAATCCTTAGTATTTTTGCTGTCAATAATTTGTATGATCCTTTAAAGTTGGAGAGTAATGCGGTTTTTTATTTGGGTGTCATGAAATAATAAACTTTATTAGAGTATTTATTTGTGGCTTGATTTTGTTTGAGATTGAAAGAGTCTAAAGAGAATATGGCCAGGTTATAATTGTCTCGGAAAAAAAATGCTATATCAACATGGGAGAGGGAAAACTGTTAAAATCATTCTTCGAAAAACACAGTAAAAAGATCTAAATTTATGCTATTTTTAAAAAGAGACCATTATGAATTCGGTTAAGTTTGTGGTTTATGGACTGATGAATGCCATGTATAATTGCCTGTCCATTACTTTGCAGATTCTAGCACAACATATCAAAGCTGTGCTACTTGGGTTGAGAGCACATATAAGCAATAACCTAGTTACTGTTGCAAAGGAGCATGCGAGCTATGGAGAAATCACGGAGTCTAAGGCATGTGTTAATACTGGACCTGTCTTGCATATGTCACTATGACCTGTTAACTAATTATTAGTTAAATTTACTGGATAATCATTCTCCTTATTTAATTAAATATCATATCATATACTTTGGGTAGATTTTTGCCTCATTTTATCTATAGTTTTTAATCGTTATTCCTCAACAGGCTGGTCAGGGTGCTCTACTCCTGAACATTCTTTCAAAATATTGTGAAGGTACCTATCCCTACAATCTGGTTTATTTTCTTTCTCTGCTTTTCCATTTATGAATTCTTATTTTTAGTTTCTTTTGTATTTGTTAACTGGTATCCACATATCTTTACTTTTACTAATTCAGTAACTGCTATCTCCATGTTCTTTCTTTCTGAAAATAGCATTCTCCTCCATGATTGAGGGAAAGAATGAGGAGATGTCCACATCCGAGTTATCTGGTGGGGCTCAGATTCATTATATTTTTCAATCCATCTTTGTCAGGAGTTTAGAGGTATATATTGCTGTATTTATATGATGATATAACATTATTGTTATACTTATACATATTCTTATATCATACTTAAAGTAGAGATAGAAAAGACAACTATAATTTTCAGAGTGGCCCATTTGAATCTGATTAGAAACAATCAACTAGCCTATTTTTTTTTGTTATACTAAGTGGATGTCTAACCTACCAATTTTTATCTGTTTAATAAATATCCAAGCATCCCTTAATTGCATTTCAAGGGTGGAAATGGGTTATTTCTTTTGTTATACTAAGTGGATGTCTAACCTGCCAACTTTTATATAGGCAAAAAGAGTAGTCAATGCCACACAGCCTAGGATTTGTGTTGCTTATGTTCTTTTTCTTTTAATTTACCTATTTTGAGACTTGTTGTGTAACTTTACACTATCTTGAAGGAGGTAGATCCATGTGAAGGCTTGACTGATGATGACGTACTGCCATACAAAACGCAACTGGGCCAAGATCAGCATTGTGAAGAATTTGTAATTGTAAGTTTGTTTGTTGTAATACAATACAATTGTTCAATTTGTAAGTTTGTTGTGAAAAATATGAAAACATCGACCTAGATGTGATATATGTGACGTTGGAAAGCTATGAAATATATATAGCGACATAAATATAGTCTGTGTGATATTGGAAAAATATGAAAAAATGGGTACAAATTATATTTGTACAGGGAAACATCCAGAAAATAAATAATCTATTCCAAAAAAATTTCATACATTTTACATCAGTTATTAGTAAAAACTGATATAAAAACTTTCAAAAAAGGGACTTTTTACATCGGTTGGGAATAATAACCGATGTAAAAAGTTGCGTCACTGGAGACTTTTTACATCGGGTATTACTTCCAACCGATGTAAAAAACTGGATCAATTTTTTAAAAAAATGTGCATAATAACTGTTTCTTACATCGGTTCATATATTATAACCGATGTAAAAAAGAGACTTTTTACATCGGGTATTACTTCCAACCGATGTAAAAAACTGGATCAATTTTTTAAAAAATGTGTATAATAATTGTTTATTACATCGGTTCTTATATTATAATCGATGTAAAAATGGGACTTTTTACATCGGTCCCAGAATCGATGTAAAAAGTACCTAATGTACTATATCGCCTGACTTTACATCGGACCCAGAACCGATGTAAAAAGTCAGTTTCACCCGATGTAAAAAGTTATTTCTGCACTAGTGAAAGTATTTGTTTTCATGCTCTTTGTCTTTGAATTAAGGTTTTCTACTTGTTGATTTTATGTCTTGCCATAGAAACCCTAATTACTAGCTTTTATATTGTAAATGATAAATTGCGGAAATGTAAAAATCTACGTTATTACATCATTTGGGGATGGGGATACAAATCACAAATGGGGAAAGAAAAGAAATTAAACCTAATTACTATTACAACCATATTTAATATGAACACATAATGTACAAAAATATGGAGATAATATGAAAATAAAATAAAATTGTTTTTGTTGGATTTTTGTGAAAGGGTTTAACCTAATTAAACTAAAAATAATAATTAATTGAATCTAAGTTAATTTAAATTGATTTAATGAAAACTAAATCTAAGTTAATTTTAAGAAAAGAAATCAAACTAACTAAGAAACATATTTTTTAGGATTTTTAAGAAAAGGTTTTACCCTATTTAGTTAAAACTAAAAGGAATGGAAAGAAATTGATTAATTAAACTCTTAAGTCCTAAATTAATTTAATTAAAATAAACTAAGTTTAATATTAATTTAGTTAAGAAAGAAATTTGTTAAAGAAATATATTTTTGGTCTTTTTGTCTTAAAAGAAATAAAATACTAATACTAAATATTTTAAATAAAATATAAAAAAAAAACATTTTTTGGGATTTTGATTAATAAAATAATAATAATATTATTATTAATAATAATAATAATAATAATAATAATAGAGAAAATAAAAAATAAAATAAAATATAAAAATAAAGTTAGGGGTGTAAAATGGGAAAATTGGTTTAGAAGTAAAAACAGTTTTGTTTTATACTAGACCCAATGTATATTTTTGTAATCAGAAAAACAAAAATAAAAAATGAAATGAAATGGGTTGCGTGGTTGAAAAGCAAATGGGGGGGGCAGATGGAGTAAAAAGGGTCAGGTTCACTTGTTGGAGGCCCAAGCGATGGCTGTTTCAAACAAAATGAAATGAAAACAAAAGAGAAAAATGCAAAAATGGACGTTGGGGCTCGAGCCCAGGTCCAAGAGGTAACAGGCGCGCGCTTCTACCACTGGGGTGGCTATACATCTGGCATTATAAACAAAACCATAAATGTATATTACAAAATCAATTCTAATGATGAACTTCATCTTCAACCTCGAGTCAGGATCCCTACAACTCATTCATTTCTCATTCATTCTCAAAAGTGTAAACATCAAACTTGTTAGAAATTTCACCACGATTCCAGAAATGTAAATAACTTAAACTAACAATCAAAGATGAGTACGGATTTCTAACGGTACCAAATTCTTACCTAATTTTTTCAGAGATTTCAAACTTAAAATTCTCACTACTCATGCAATATAAATGAATTCTAATAACATGGTCATCTTCAAGGCTATGATGTCTACATTTTATCTTTGAAAATGGAAAGCTAACAATGCCTATATGAAGAGTTCAAAAATTAGAAAACTTACCTTGAAAATGGATTTTGTTTTGCAAATGAGCTTGCTTCAAGGTTCTGTAATGATCAGGTTAGCTTCGTTGAGCCTCTAGGAAGCTAATGCAATGCTTAGTTTGAGTTGTGGATACTTGAATCGTGCTATAGAAGTCCAAGTGCAATGATCTGTTTTTGAGTTTGGAAAATGGTGGAAATGGAGTTACAGAACTGTAACTGGTATTGGGAAGATTTGTGTTTGATGTTAGGAATATTTTAGAATGATTTGGAGAGGAAACACACGAGTAGTTTAAGAGATGGGAGTGTAAGGTCAGTTTCAGCATAAAAATGGAGTTTTGTGAGAGTTTGAGTGAGTTTAAGAGCTTGCTAATTAGTTTCTTAGCTCACAAATAGTGCTTCTATTTATAAGCAATAGGTTTGTAGTGTGTGATATGGTGAGAGAACTGACTTGGTTGTTTTGCGTTTGATCGCAAATTTTGCGGGTAGCAAGAGTCGCCACTGACTTTTATTTTATTCAAAAGGAAAGGTGAAAAAGCACAGGAAAGACCTCTGAGATTCTTTCTTGAGTTCGGGGGGTAGATTATGAAAAGGGAATGTATTAGCACCCTTTTCATCCATGGTTTTCCATGGGCTCTTAGTTACTTGCTAGGTCACTTGCTTTTGCTTGAAAATGTGCTTTGTGTGGTTTTTGAAAGTATTTTGAAAAGGTATCATCATTTAGGTAAACTTTGTAATGATTCTCGTTCGTAAGAATGTATACAAAGTGTTTGATCTTTTGAAAATGTTTTCAAGTTTTGAAAGATGTTTTTGAAAGTGTTGGTGTTTATTTTGAAAATAGCAAGGATGTTTTTGTTTTGAAATTGAGCAAGTAACTAGGAACATTCTACCTACTCAAAAGTTTTTCATGTTTATTTCCTCTTTCCTTTGACATTGTTATCTTACCATTGATTTGGTAAGTAACCCTATCTTTGGATGTAAAAGGGACGAGTGTGGGCCATCGTATAACCATGATTAGCAATGTTGTAAGAAAACTTAGCATTTTCTTTAGGGACTAAGATCATTTTGAGAGGCAACTTTGATAGCGTCATCGAGGGACTATGATCTTGTATTTTGCTTGCTTTTGCTAAGATACCTCACATGCATAATAAGGCCATTTTTGTAAGGCAACCAAGTAGATTTACCCTAAGGGTGTTTGTGTGCAAGTGTATTGATTTACATGCTTTATTTGTCTTTGATTAGGGTTTTCTATTTGTTGGTTTTAATCTTTCCATACAAACCCTAATTACTAGCATTTGTATATAAAGGATTAAATTTCGGAAAATAAAAATACTAAACTATTACATGTTTTATGGGAGGGGGTGTACAAATTACAAATGGGGAATTGCAATAAATTAAATCTAAATAATTATTACAACCATATTGAATTTGAATAAATGTACAAAATTAAATAAGTAAAAATGCAAGAATGTAAATGAAAAAAGAAATGTGATTTTTTGTTTGGTTTTTCATTAAAGTAAAATAATTAACTAAAAATAAGCAAATTAAGATTAAGTTAGTAAAATAAATTAATTTAAAGAAAAGTATTTTTTAGGGTTTTTGTGAATTTAATTAAATTAGTAAATAAAAATAATTAAATAAAATTCCTAAATTCTAAATTGATTTTAATTTACAAGAAAATAATATAATAAAATAATTAAGATTAATTATCTAAGTATTAAAAAAAGTAAATTAATTTATTAAAGAAAATATTTTTGTTCTTTCAGTTTTATGAAAAAAAAATAAACTAAATAAATATAAATAATAAAAATATAAATGTTTTTTTTGGATTTTTTATTAATGAAAATAATAATAATAATAATAATAATGTTAAAAGAAAATGTAAAATGAAAATAAAATAAAGAAAGAAAGAAAATAAAATAATAAAGAAAAATAAATGGGCCAGGGGTGTAAACAACAAGGCAGGGGGTCAAAAGTAGCAAAAAAAATAAAGCCCAATCACTTGGAGGCCCAGGCGCTGCAAGGGTCAAAAAGTGTAAAGAAAATATGAAAAAAAAAACAAAAGGTAGCGTGTCGAGGTTCGAACCCATGACCTCTTGGTTACCAGTGTGCTGCCTTACCACTGGGGTGGCTGTACATCCGTTAATATAACTGAAATGATAAATATATAATGCAAAATGAGTCATGAATACACTTCATCTTCAACCTCCAGCCATACCACTTGTAACTCATTCATTTCTCAACAAAAATGGAAAATGTAAACATGAAAGTTGCTCCATTTTTTCATACAAATCCAACCATATAAATATCATGAACTATAAATCAAAGATGAATGAGAATTTTTGAAAGTACCAAATTCTGACCTAATTATTTTCAGAGATTCAATCCTAAAATTCTCCTAGCTCAATCAATATAAATGAAATCCATGGACATGTACAGCTTCAGGGAAATGATGTCTACATTTTATCTTCAAATATGCAAGCCTAACAATGCCTAAGTAATGAGATAGAAGTTCAAGAAAAATACCTCAAAATTGGAAATTGTGAAATGCAAATGAGCTTGATTCAAGGTGCTGCAATGATCAAGTTAGCTTCCTTGAGTCTCTAGCAAGCTAATGCAATGCTTAACTTGAGTTGAGGGTGGCTGAAATGGCTTGGAGAAGTCAATGTGAAATGCTCTATTTTTGGTTATGGAGGTTATGGTAAATGATGTTATAGTGATGAAACAGGGACAGGGATAGGTTACACTTGATGTAAGGAAGCTTTAGGAACTAAAAGGCCAAGAAACGCATGAGGGAAATGAGTTTGCTGTTCAAGGTCAGAAACTGTGCAACACTGGAGTTTTTGGGCAATTTCTAATTTGAGAGAGTTTTGGTGTATTTCCGGGTGCTTCAGCTCGTGTTCTAACTCACAAATAGTGCCTCTATTTATAAGCAACAAGTTTGGAAGCTTGTAGTTGATCATAATTCAAAATCACAAGTTTAAGCATAACATGTGATTTTTGAGAAATCCAAGTTTCAAAGTCTTGTGTACTTGCTAAGATAGAGTGGTTATGCTTTAAACACACTTGCTTATGACTTTGTAGATGGAGTGTGATCAGAGAGAACAAGTTAGAGGCTCAATAATTGACTTTGTGCATAAAGCTTGCTTTTCCAAAATGGAAGTGTTCACTTTGTGCCATTAATGGAAATGTGGATTGGATAAAGCTTAAACCACTTGGATTAAAGCTCAAAAGTTTGTGTAATCCATTAATGATGGATAGATACACAAGTTAGAAGGCCTTCAAACAAGATTATGCAGCCTAACATTGAAATTGCATTTTTGTTCATCATGAAAATGACCTATAATTTTAGTTTGAAACCCTAACTTCCTCTCTTCGATTCTCCTTGCTCAAGAATGATCTCAAGGAGTTCTTGGACATTTTAGAAAGCTTGTAATGTTCTATACAACCCCTCTTTGAATCACTTTTGAAAATTCCCCTTGGAACTATATGAAAAATTGCCATGAAGTTCGGTCAAAATCCTGCCTAAACTAGGGCAAAATTTTCATTGTGTTTGGTTTCAAGACCATGACTTCATGAATTAATAACTCGAGATCCAAGAATTTCTAGGATAAGTTTTGTGAAGCAGTTTTATAGATATCATGGATATCTACAACTTTCATGTTGAAATTTTCCCTTGAATCATCTTGCATCATGGTGAAAAAAATGGCTTAAAGTTGTGAAAAATATGAAGTTTCCAACACTTAGAAAAATTTCTAAGTTTGGAAACTTTGACTTTTCAAAATGAAATCTTGACTTTTTGATTTCTTGATGAACAAGTTTCATATTTTGACATTTTTTGATGAATTGTGATCTTTGACACTTGAATTTGACCAAAAAGTCATGGTTTGACTTTTCAGTGTGCAGTTGACTTTGATCAGTTGACTGAAAATCAACTATCAATCAAATGACCTTGAGCAATATTTTGAGTTGTGAAATTAGGTCAAAATGATGCAATTAAATCCTTGAGATCATGTTTCCAACCAATTAACCATTTTCTAGGTCAAAAATTAGAAATTGCCCTTTCTCAATCAAAACCCTAATTTGACCATTTTGCCCTTTTGATGATCTGATCAAATTTCTTGAGGAATTGTGGTCCAAACTTAATCAAATGACATATATGAGTTCACAATGTTGATATGGATCAAAAATTATGAAGTTTGACTATAAATTGACCACAATTGACTTTTTCCCCAATACAGCTGATTTTTAGGTCAACTGCTCAATTGACTAAGCAAAAATGTGATCCAAGACTTGAAACTTGACATGAAAATCTTGGGGGTCCATAATGATCCATGAAAGTCAGATGGGGCATTAGAGGTTCAATTATCCTTTTGAAATGTCAAACCCTAATTTCAGTCATCAGTGCTTAAGGAGGTGTCTTAGGCTGATCAAACCTTGTGCAGTCTTGAACCAAAGGAGATCTTGTGAGAAAATACTTGATAAATGAAAGGGGAAATTTTGGGGTACAACACTAACAATGTAAGGTTTCAAACTAGAAATGAGCGGAAATACAAGGATGTTGTTACCAGTTTCATAGCTCATTCCTCTGCAAAAACCTTATCTAAAGAAGAATGGTATTTTTTTGGTGGAAGTTCTAAACATATGACATGTGTTAAAGACCACTTAGTAGATATCAAATTTTGTCTACTAGATTTGTCACTTTTGGGAATGGTGCCAAAGGAGGAATAGAGGGAATAAGAATGGTAGATCACATTGGATTACCTAGTCTAGACAATGTGTTCCTTGTAAAAGAATTGACTGCCAATCTGACTAGCATCATTCAATTAAGTGATCAAGGTTAGAATGTAAATTTCACTAAGGCTGGATGTTTGGTTACCAATAATAATGATATTTTGATGAGGGGAGTTAATTCTAAAGACAACAACTATTTATGGGTTCCTAAAGGAATCACTTACTCATCCATAAAAGCTAATAATCAAGGGAGATGATGTTAAGATGTCATACCACATCTTTAAACATCTGATTGTACTTAAAATTTTAGAATCTCCTCATATTGATTTAATTGAACCAACAAAGCTTAAGGGAAAAATAAGAAGTTGGTTGGTT